CATTTTATAGATGGAAAACTGAGACCCAAAAAGCGAAAACAGGATGCGAAGCAAAAGCCCTGACATCACGGGATTTGCATTCCAGCGAGGGAGAAGAAGGTGAACACGTTAGGGAACTGATATGTGCCAGAGAGCAATAAGTAGACGGAGAGAGTAAGAAAGCGGTAAGAAGCACAGTGGAGCCGGGTACGGTGGCACACACCTGTAATCCCAGCGGCGCAGGAGGCCGAGGCAGGAGGATCGTGAATTCGAGACCCTGTCTCAAAATAAAATAATTAAAAGGGCTGGGATGCAGCTCAATAGTAAATACCTCTGGGTTCAATCCCCAGTACCCTAAATAAATAAATAAAAGCATAGGTGGTACCTGGCATCAGGGGAGGGAGGGCTAGTTACTCCACATGAGGTGATGTTGTAGGTAAAGGGTTTGTCACAGGGAAGGACATTGCAGATATAGTTCATAGCACTCAAGAGCCCTGAGGTGGGAGCTTGCCGACTGGATCAAGGAACAGCAAGAAGGCCCCTGTGGACGAGCTCAATGAGGGCAGGAGAGATGGTGTGAGAAAAACAGGGAGAGCCAGGTCATTTGGGAGCCTTGGACCACAGCCAGCTCTTGAGCTGTGTCTCACAGTGAGATGGGCCCCATGGAAGGAGGTCAGGAGTGAGGAATGACATTATTTGACTGACGCCTTAAAAGGATCAACCTTGTTGCCCTGGTAAGAAGAGACCAGAGGGGTCCAAGATAGAAACAGGGACCAGCCGGGTGTGGTGGCACACGCCTGTCATCCCAGGACTCAGAAGGCTGAGGCAGGAGAATTACAAGTTCAAGGCCAGCCTCAGTGATTTTGGGAAGCCCTAAGCAACTCAGCAAGAATCAGTCTCAACAGCAAAAAGCAAAAAGGGCTGGAGATGTGGCTCAGTGGCTGAGCACCACTTGGTTCAATCTCCTGTACCAAAAAAATGAAAATGAAAATGAAAAGGACTGGGAATGGAGCTCCGTGGTAAAGCACCCCCGAGTTCAACCCCCAGGACCAAACGAAAAGGAGCAGGGAGACCAGTTAGGAAACTGTGACCATAATTCAAGTGAGAGTTGCAGTGACTCAGAGGGGGACAGCAGTGGTAGAGATGGGGAAGGGACCAGATTCTAGATACAGACGATAGAGCGGATGGAGTTGCTAATGGTGTATCTAGTGTAAAAGAATAAGAGGAGGCCAGAATGACATCACAACTTGCTCCTGAGCAACTTGACTTTTATTGAGATGATAAAAAGATAAAATAGCAGTACTATTCACAACAACCAAAAGGTAAAAACAACCTGGAAGCCCATCAACCGATGAATGGATGAACAGAATGTGGCAAACACATGCACCGAATAGTAACCTTAAAAAGAAATGAAATTCTGACACATGCTACACCATAGATGAACCTTGAAGATGTTATTCAAGTAAAGTGAGCCAGACACAAAAGGACCAATCTCATTTGATTCCACTTACATGAGATGACCTAAAGGAGTCGGATTCATAAAACCAGAAACTGGAAAGGTTGTAGCCAGGGGTTGGAGGAGAGGGAAGAGGGAGTCAGAGTTTCAATTTAGGAAGATGGAATACCTTCTGGAGCCAGGCATGGCGGTGCAAGCCTGTAACCCCAGTGACTCAGGAGGGTGAGGTAGGAGGAACACAAGTTCAAAGTCAGCCTCAGCAATTTAGCCAGACCTTGTTGACAGTCATACAACATTGTGAATGTACTTCATGAGCGATAAACCAAAAAGTCATTAAAATAACTTTGTTATTTCAGTTTGTTTGTTTGTTTTGGCTATTGGGGATTGAGCCCCAGGGGTTGCTGTACCACTGAGCTACACCCCCAGTCCCTTTTATTTCTGATTTTGAAACAGTGTCTCATTAAGTTGCTGAGACTGGCCTCGAACTTACCATCCTCCTGCCTCTGCCTCCCAAATCACTGAGGTTATAGGAATGCCCCACTACACCCAGCTATTTCAAAATTTTTACCAAGGTCATAATATGGATGTGGCAGAATGAATTTAAATATAAAATGTATGAACAAATGGCAAATTATATGTCATGCATGTTATTACCATTTTTTTTAAGTAGAGATTTTAAATATTCGCTCACTGGCAAAGCCCTATAAGGATTCCGAGATTCATAAATACAAATACAAATGAGAAACTACGCTGGAGTTTTCCTGTGGTTAACAGCAGGTACGGGAATATCCCACCAACAGGGCTTTGGAATAGGGAGAAGCAGATCAGTGGGAGGGGAGGGCCACATTGAAAATAGAAGCTGTTTCAGAAAAAATAAGAAGATGAAAGAGAATAGGACTAGAATAGAACGATCAGAGAAGCCAGAGGAGCAAGGGAGTCGAAACAGGATCGGGGCACTGGGGACCACAGATGGTGAGAGAAATCTGATGACATTCCAATGCAAAGCTGGTAAAAGGGTGTGATTGCAACAGCTAGCATTTATTAAGCACTTACTGTGTCAGGCACAGCCCTAAGCTGTGTACTGGCACCAATCCTCACAGCATCATATAAGGGAAGTGCTGTGGCCTCCCTGACCTCACAGACAGAGAAGCCAGAACCAGCCTGAGGGTAGAGTAGCAGAAACAAGACCCAAGCCCAGCAGTCGGTCCATCCCAGAGCCGGCTCCTCCCACCAGGCTCCATCCCCGGATGGGTTTGCAGCTTTAACTTTCGGACATCCCACACTTAAAACCTTCTAGAATGTTTAGGACACTGTGTCACCAGACAGAGCTCTGCTGGCCTGAGCTAAACAGCCTTATCTCCAAGTCTAGCAGTGACTCTGATTTTCTGCTTATTTACTGTGCTGATACCCCAAGAAAACCCACTCAGTCTCTCTTGCATATATATGAGTTTTTAGATGTTCAGGGAAATAGCAGAATCCCCTGGGGAAGGTGACTTCAAGAGAGCTGAAGGCTAATGGCAGGGTAGGAAAGGCTGGTGTCTGGCATTCCAACGGAGCCATGTTTACACGAAGCTCCAGCTTCAAAGTCCACCAAACTGAGGGACACGCAAGTTGGTTTCTAAGGAAATGTCCCTGATGAGGGAAAAGAGGCGTCCCTGGCAAGAGGAACTGTAATCTTCCTCCTTAGTTTCAGCCAAGGCTCGTGAGGACGAAAACACACACACGTTTCTCTAAGCTCCAGGACTTAATCAGAATCCCTCCTACTGGCTGCTTTAATTCTGGCTCTTGCAGCATCGGGCTCTTCATGGGTGCTTGATAAATGCACAAGAAATGGATAGCATCCAGTGCAAGTCCTTAGAGGAACAGGATCCCATCTAAGTCACCAACTTAACGTTGAAGTGAATCATAGAAGCAGCGAGTGCCGCACTGGGAAGGCCAACCCTGTGAGAAGCCAGAACCTGCTCCCAGAGGGCACGAGGCACTGACCAGCCACGTGACGCTGGGAAGCCAGCCAGTAGCTCTCACCATTATCTGCCTATTTTATTTGCCAGGCATCCTGTGCCGAGGACCCTCCCAGGCCCCCAATTGTCGTGGAGGCTACTAGAAGCCTGGCACTCTGGGAGCTGAGACAGGGAGGCCCAGGCACTCAGTCAGACACAGAAGGGCATTGAGTCCAAACTGGGAGGCTCAGATGGGCCTGGGGTGATGATTCAAAGGACCAGTAAGAGAGGGGGCAGCAGGCTATGCAAGACAGAGAAGACGCGACCACGTGTCTTCATGAAGGCACCGAAGCATGGAACAGCATGGTTGATCTGGGGGACCTGCAAGCATTTTCGTATGGCTGGAATGAAGGGTGCCCTGTGGCAAGCAGTGGAAGGGGATCACAGTGGCCTTGTGTGCTAAGCTAAGGACATGAACTGTACACTGCAAGCCATAGGGGGCTACTGAAGAATTTTAAGGTGGGGAATAACATGATCTGTTATTATTATTATTATTATTTATAATTTTAGACTGATACTATTTAAGCTCAGCAGTGGAAGAAAAGATAGCAGAAAGAATAGGTGACCCTCTCTAGTACGTGAGCCTTGTCTCTGGGTAGAGGAAATAATCAGAGCAAAACAGGGTGGGGCTTGAGGAGGGGAGACGGGTTACCGAATATTTGCTACAGAAACAGTCATCCAGGGCAGAGATGGGGTGCTGGGGAGAGAAGAGGTGAGGAAGGGAATGCACAGGCCCCTAGAGGTGTCAGCCCGGAGGCCAAGGCACTACAGGGTGCTGGGATGGAGGAGGGAGAGGCCTCGGGGTGGATAGGGAGGAACCTGGACTCCATTTCCCCAGGGACAGTGCAGTCACTCTACTCCAGCTGACATTGCCATGTGGGATGCAGACTCAGAGAATATTACGAAATTTTAAGAAGTCATAAATTCCCATATTATCTGTGAAATCTCCTCATTCTTATATGTTTGCAATTTCAATATGTTTGCAAGTAACCTCCAAAAGAAATTTAATTTTTATTCAAGGCAAAAAAAATATATATAACTATGGCCTCAACTGGGCAGGAGTCCTCCATCTAACTCCCTACAATACAGGATTTCAATGTCCCAGAGTCCCTTCTTCCCCTCAGGGACACTGTCCCTTCTGTCCCCTTACATGGGCGTCTCCCACCTGAGAAAGCATTTCCTTTATATGATCAGAAAGGCTTTGACTTCAACTCTGGTGGACTCTTCAGCTAGCAGTAGATTCCAACCCTCCAATTCTAAGCCTTTGGACTCGGCCGCACCATGGCCTTGAGTTTTACAGATAATGTCCTGAATGCATCTGGATGTTCCAGGGCAGCCCTACAAATCGAGAAACTCTGAGAGTCCTGGAGTAAGTGATTCTTGGGTAGAAAGTGCATTTCCTACAGGCTTTTCCAAAAGCTGGAAGGAGAGAAGAAGGTCTTGGATTTCTAGTGCCACAAGGTGCTGTCATCTGCAGGTGCTCTCCTGAGCCCTATTTCTGGGTATGGTTCTTGTAATTAAGGTTATCATTCTTTCAGTCCCCCCCCCCCGCCCACTTCTCTCACCTGCATTTGAAACTGCCCCTGCTTGGCTGGTGGCTTCCTTGGATTTATTCTGGTCTTTGCATCCCGGGGTTGATGACTGTGGTGTGCTCTAACAATAAGGATAAAGATGATTACAGAGTCACTCGGGGAATCAGCCAACCGATTAACATGTCTCAGATGCCTACCGTGAGCATATAAAACACCAGACACCCCACCCCTCCAACGCCACCCCAACACGCCCCAGCCCAGCCTAAGTTCCTCCCTTGCCTGGAAGCTCTGGCTATAAAAGAGATAACAAAGGATGTTAAGAAGGGACCCGGCACAAGCTCAAAACATCCTTCTGTGAAAGTTCAGTGAATCTCACACAAAGGAGACAATGTTATCTGAGGTTCATGGGATTCAGAGGACCCAAAAGAGGACTTTGCAATGGTAGAAAGAGCAAGAGCGAGCAATTGAACACAGAAGAACAATGTGCTGTCAAATGAGTAATGTGTCAGGAAGCAGGATTGGGGGACTCATCGATTACTGTCCATTGAGTATCCATTCTCTGTCCAGAACCAAGCTGGATTCCACGGGACAGGGCAAACAACCAGTAAACTCCGCCAGAAGTTCCTAAAGCCTTATGTGGCACGGTTCCAATCCAAAGGTCGCCACCCTCTTGGAGGGACAAGTACCATCAGGAAGGAGAGACAACCCGGCCACAGGATTCCCTAGCCAATTGCATCTGGCAGCAACATGGAAACCTGGTTTTCATGGAGAACAGAGTTGCTGTCAATAGCTTTAATAGGTGGGGCTTTTCAGGTCTTTACTCAAGTTGGCTATCATTCCCAGAAATTCTCTTCCCCAGGAGGAAATAACTTGGAGGTTGATGAATAAGTCAGGATCTTCAGCTTCAAATCGGTGAATTTTTGGACTCACACTTCCTTCCTACAGACACACTGTTCTCCCTATCTCCATATTTTTTGTGGAGCCAGGGAGAATGTTGAGGCCAGTTAAATTTTTTCTCCCCCGTAAATAATAAGTAAATTCCTCATTAGACTTTCCTAAGGGGCTGAAAAAAACAGATTTTTGTGTCCCAGAGCCTAGCAGAGTGTTCCCAGCATTCTGGAAACGTTTGTTACTTGGATAGATAAATGATGAATGAATAACAGATTGATAATTGCATCCCTTTAATAACAAATGGCATGAACACTTCCAAGGCTCTTGAAAACTGTCCATAAATTAATCCCATCCCACTGATTCTTTCATGTCACAAATTTCCAAAAATTCTAAGAGATAAATCCAATATGAATTATTTTACAAAAACAATCTTGCCTTTTCCAGAAAGGCTTGGTTGAATAAGCATTTGAGAACTCTTCTTTTTTTATTTTTTTTAATTCATCCAGCTGTCAGTTATAAAAATGCATCTCAGAATAAGTCCAAAACCCACCACAGAAGAAAGGAATGTTTTTTTCCTTCAAAAACAATAATCAGATAATAATGACAAACACATCAGCCCTTACCACATGCCAAACAGAGCCAGTTATGACTTGTATGTTAAAGCCTTACAACAACCAGGAGATATGTGCTGTCAGAACCCCACCTGCCTTCATCTTACCCCAGTCTTTTTCAATTTTTATTTTGAGACAGGGTCTTACTAAGTTGCTTAGGTTCTGACTAAGTTGCTGAAGCTGGCCTCAAACTTTTGATCCTCCTGCCTCAGCCTCCGGAGTCTCTGGGATTACAGGAGTGTGCTTCTATGCCTGGCCAGAGCTGCAGTTTGAACCCAGTCCAACTGGTCTCATGAATCCATACTATATACCATGCTATAAACCATCCATGTTTTGCTGCGTATGTTAGAAAAATCAAAAAATGGAGATGGGGAGGTGGGGAAGTCAAAGGCCAACCAAATTGTCAGCATATTCAAGATTCAATGTTATCTTGAAGAAGCGATGGTTCTTAGCTAAATATACAGACTGCTTCACAGTGTTCTGTCTGTGCAATGACCAAAAACAGACTATTTTAGAAATAACTGTAATATCATAAAAAGATTCTATAATAGCTATACAAATAAAGAACAGAGAAACATTCAGTTTCCATTTACTTTAGAAAATAAAAATCAAATCATCAAGCAAATGGTTTTCTAATACAATGCAAATTTAATCTGGAGCCATCAAAATAAGTCACACTGCCTTAAAAAAGCCTAGCTTCCCTCTAAAGTACAGTGACAGCATTAAATACTGTCTTCCGTAATTGTTAGGAGGGAGCCACTACAAAGTCCAGCCATCCTGGGTGGAGATCTGATTCCATCCAACACAGATTGCTATTAAGGCACTCAATGATTCTAATTGATGTTGAGGCAGTCAAGCAGAAAGAGAGGAAATCTTATTCACAACCAAATACCATTCTTAGAGAAAATTTTCAAGGAGGAAAATCCTTTCACAGCCACCATTTTCATGTTATCTTGAATACAGAGCTTAAGAAAAATGAAAGAATAAATAAATGATTTTAAGATGGGAACGGGGGCTCTGGAGACATAGCTCAGTTGGTAGAGTGCTTGCCTTGCATGCACAAGGCCCTGTGCATGCAATCCCCAGCACCACCAAGGGGGGAAAAAAAAAAAAGATGGGGAAGGGGGCGGGAAATAGCCATGAAATTGAATGGTGTAGAACTTTAAATGTTCTTATGGATTTTCCTTTTAAAATGAACTTGTCTTTGGAGAACATTGAACTAGGTGATGTGTGAGCTTGGAAAAGATTAAAGCAGGATCCAGCCTGTGGTATTGTTTCTAGGTATCCAGAAAATGATTTAAAGATGGGTCTGTGGACAAAACCAACCACTACCACCGGGGTGTTCTGACCTGATCAACGGAGAAGCCCAGGGCTGATGTGCCACAGCCTCACTCTAGGATATGGTCACATTATGGAAAGAAAGGAGGACGCAGAAATGCAGGCCGTGAAGTGAGGAGGAGCAGGGGCAAGGGACATGGATCCCCTGCTCCTCATCAAGGCTGCTACACCTAAAGGTCGTGGTGAAATGTGTGGAGAAAACAGATACAACAACCATTCCTACCAGAAAGAGCAGAGACCTGATTAGATTCACCGTGTAAAGTAGTTACGGAAGACAGCATTAAATACTACCATTACTACACCTGGGATTGTGGTACTAATGCAAATCACTCACAACTCCTCAGCCAAGACAATGTTTGTTCAAACACTGAGATCCTAGAGACTGGTAAAAAAAATAAATAAATAAAAATAAAAGAGACCAGTGAACCAATACAGATATTAAAAAAAAAAAAAAAAAAAAACATGGACTTTCACATCCAGAAGTGCAATACAAAAACCTTTATAGAGGCCAATTTGGTAGTAGCTGTTAAAAGCCAGGCACTGTGGGGCTGGGGTTGTGGCTCAAAAGTAGAGTGCTCGTCTAACACATGCAGGGTGCTGGGTTCGATGCTCAGTACCACATAAAAATAAAATAAAAGTATTGTGGCCAACTACAACTAAATATATATATATATATATATATATATATATATATATATATATATATATTTTTTTTTTTTATCTATATATCTATATTTATATTTTTTTGTTTGTTTTCTTTTTTTTTTTAAGTCAGGCACTGTGGTGCACAGCTGTAATCCCAGCAACCAGGGAGGCTGAGACAGTAGGAGGCCAGCCTTCGCCTCTTAACTGGACTCTATCTCAAAATAAAAAGTAAAAAGGGCTGGGGATGTAGCTCAGTGGTGGAGCGCCCCTGGGTTCAATCCCTAGTACCAAAATAAAAAAGAAAGTAACTATGAAAATGTCAAGTACTTGGGCTCCTGTGTTCAATGCATTTCCATCTCTAGGTATCCAAGTAAAATATTTGCATATGGGCTGGGATGTAGCTCAGTGGCAAAGCATCTGCCTTGCATTCGCAAGGCCCTGGGTTCGACCCCCAGTTCCAAAAAAAAGACAAAAAAAAAAAAAAAGAACCCCACCAAAAAAAATAAGATTAAAAAAAAAATCCTTTAAAAAAATATTTGCATATATGTGTCTCAAAGGAGTGTGTGCAAGGATGTCTGTTGACACTGGAAATTACTGAAGGTCCATCATTAGAGAAATTGTCAAATAATACAATACTTCGTTCAGGCTGTGCAATATTTATAACAGTGAAAACAAAGTGGATCTGTATTTTTCTACCCAGAACATTTCCTAAACATTGATAAGGGGGGAGGGAAAAATTGTTTTTTAAAAATTCAGTCTGATCTTAGTTGCTTCTTTTTTAGTTTATTTATTTATTTGTTTATTGATTGATTGATTGGTACTGAGGATTGAACCCAGGGGCACTCAACTACTGAGCCACATCCCCAGCTCTTTTTTATAATTTATTTAGAGACAGAGTATCACCAGGGTCTCACTGAGTTGCTTAAGAGCCTCACTAAGTAGCTGAGGCTGGCCTGAACTCCAAATCCTCCTGCCTCAGCCTCCCAACCTACTGGGATGACAGGTATGTGCCACCCTGCCCTGCCAGTTGTTTCTTTTTTTAAACCCACCAATCTATAGACCTCTGTTAACATAGAGATTTGTCCAAATCCATAGAATCAAGTCCGCAGAGCACATGCATAATTGATGCCACAGGTCATCACTAAAGAGGAACATGTTAATTAGATTTGGAACAAGGGGAACTTCCTTTGCATTGTTTGAATTTTTTTACAAAAAAATAATTGCTCTGTGGTATAATTATAAAACAAATCTTTGGGAATGTTAGTTCTGAAACCGTCTACCTGCCCAACAGAGTGTTTATCAGGGGTGAAAGTATTTTATCAGCTTTGATTACTTCAACAGAGGTGGTGGTTCTTTCAAAAATATTCATCGAGCACCTACTATGGGCCAGGCACTGATCTAGACTCTGGGGGAGTAAAACTCCCTGCCTTCATAGAATTCCTATTTCAATGGAGTTGATGACATTATCCGCTCAGAGAAGGGGACAGGTATCTCTGGAAGAGAGGCATGGGGAGATTAAATATTTCCAAAGACAGGGGCTTGACATCAGGGGCTCTGGTCATATCTTCCAGGCCAAGAAAAGAAGACGAAATGGGAGAGGCTCAGACTTTAGTGAAGACCCATAGCATCTGGCCGC